ACATAGGGAAAGTTAACTTACGTTTTTTGACCTTTATCCCAGAAGATAAGACCAAAAAGAAGGCCATACATAAAGTTAGGATAAACCGGATGGTATTATATTCAGGGTGTCTCCAGTAAGACCAAAATTGTTTCAGAAGCAAGCTTTGCACTGAGTAAAAAAGGATCGTGAGTATTTGGTTGAAGAAGAGTCATTAGAGCCCGGAGCTGGAGTACTAAGCTCTTGATAAGTTCTTGATTCCTCCGAAAGAGTGCCAAGAAAGAAATCATTTGAACATACTTAAAATTCTAAGCCATATGGAAAAAGTTAAATAATGTAAAACTATGTATTGAACACTCAACTACTGATATAAAGAGGAGTTGGCATAGATTTCAGCAAAATCCACGTCCATTTGACCTCGACTGAAGGAGCAGTGACCTCAAGCATCCCGTGCTGGATTGCATCCTCCTTAATTTGAGGAACCCTTGGGACAGCCGAAATAGGTTATAAATATTAGGTCTCAGTGCAATTTCCGATCCACGAATTCATAGGATTTTTCTAAAATAAAATGAATAACATGTGGAGGACATGAAATTAATATTAGAGTCTATTCTTTGTGTATTTGCTGTTAACAGATCAATCATACAGACAACGAAACATGAAATATTTACCTCAAAATATTCTAGATTTTGGAATGGCGACCAAGGGGTCCTGTATAATGACTTGTCCACCTCGTTTCACAATAGTAGCTGTAATAACCCAATACCGTGTTGCATGTTAAAAACATGTAAACAAATAAGAAAGCATAAATAAAGAAAACACCAAGGGAAGTCTATAAAAGTTGAGCATTACATCGTCAAGGCTTCAAATATGTCTATGCTAGGTTGGTGTATAGTGCATACAACAGTTCTCCTGTATCCACTGTATTTCTCACAGTACGCATGACAATGGCAGCTGCTCTAGCATCAAGACCAGATGTTGGCTCATCCATGAAGATTAGAGGGGTTAGCAACCAGCTCTACAGCTATTGTCAACCTCTTTCTTTGTTCTGTTGAAAGACCATCTATTCCTGGAAGCCCAACTAAGCATTCCTCAATGGTTTGAGCTCAACCAACTCCATAACTTCTTCGACAAACATCTGCATGATACTTGAGGTGAATTAAATTATAATGGCATCATTAATAATAGTTCAAAGTATGAAGATAGGAGCAAGTTCCTTCAGAGTTGGAACTATTATTCTACAAGATTTCAGCATACCTTCCGTGATTTTGTATCTATTTCTGAAGGAAGACGAACCAAGCTGAGTATAGGAGTGATTCATAAACAGTAACATGAGGTGAATGATGTCATTTGTTCACAAACCACTCACCTGCAAATTTTTCTTGGTTCTTTGGGTAGCCGAAATGCTAATACTTCCTTCAATATACCCTCGGCTTCCTTCCTGCCAAGACATCCATCAGTTGCTTCCCGCACCACTTACACCTACTAGTCCGTCAATACCCCTGGTCTGAACACCACTAACATCTCGTAGCAGTTGAAGACGATCTTCTTCAATCCTTGGCTCTTATTTCTGATAAGCAATGATAATTAATTCATCTCAGCATATGCTTGTGAGAATCAAAACATTTTCAACAAGATCATTCATTTAAATGCTTCTAACAATTTTAAAAAAATGTTTAGATACATTATGGACTTAAAAAGCCATTCTAATTTTTTGAGAGGTGGTAAACCGAAAATGAAAATGTGTTACGAATGACATACATATTGTTCTCGAATGATCTCCCAAATTCCATGACTCTATGCTATAGCACAGAAGAATCTAAGGTCAAGCAACCTAGTTATTAGTGTTTATTTCATCACTCATGCGGATTTTTGGCACAGATCATCATTGACTAGCAATGGTAAGTGTTAATTTTTGTGTGAAATGATAGATTTCCGGTTTTCAATGATATGGAAATTTGGTTATGGTTTCGGAAATGTCAAGGGTTAAATTTCAATAATCAGGGAAGCTTCTAGGACAAACAAAATCTATATAACACTTGAGATAAATATACGCTTCGAGATGAATGACTTACAACAGGCATATCACGTAGTAGTTCACGGTTGAATACAAGTGAATGGGGTTGGAAAGGCAAAACCATTCCTCTTTTAGAGTCAGCCAGGTTAACCATTTCTGATGAACTTCTCACTGCCAAGTTAATACCTGCAATTGTTTGTCAAGTCAACGTATTTAGACAATATAATATCAATGGACTTTACACAGTACATGAATAAGAAATTTTCCTTGGGAACATGACATAACAATCTGAAGATAAGTACCTTCCATACATGCTTTGGAACATAACTATTATATTCATCATATCAGTTTGTTTTTCTATGAAATCTTAAAGAGGTGGATGAAGGTTTGTGGAAAAAAGCTGGAATATGATTCTGACTGGTACGGTAAATACACAATTCTCCAAGATACATATTCTGCTAAAATATTAGCCCTACTTAATGCAGTTTTCATTTCATGTTCATGCATTTGATATACCAGCTTTAATTCTTGTACAATAAAACTTGACTTTTGTAAACCTTATGTATTGCTGGTTTATCAGAATGTAAAACAAGTTCCTCCATCATCTAATAGAAAACAATTTGAGTGTAGAAAACTCCTAAAATCTCCTAGCAAGGCTAGAATCCCTATAGGAAAAAAGAAAAAGAGAGCTAAAGATTACCCAAAAAAAAAAAAGAGAGAGCTAAAAAGTTTTATACCTACAGTGTTGCTACATACATATAATATCTAATTGAAAAACAGAATAATTGCTGGCCATTCTATGATCCGCATTTTAACAGGATTAACAAGGTTTGCAAGGAAAAATAGGAAAAACATAAACCTTCTACTCCATGTTCCTCAGAGGCTTGCTTATTCTTCTTGTCTCCATTATCCTCTATGACAGTTGCTTTTGACTCACCAAAAGCTGAAAACAATTTCCAATACGAGAAGAGATGTTAATTAAACATTGAAACTTGAACTCTGTACAAGATATCCAGAGATGAAATTAGATACAATAACTTACAACTCAAATCAGTCAATGCGCCAATGAATAAAATGTTGAAGAGAAGAGAGAATCCAGAAAGTGCTACAATGCAAATCCAAAACCAATACTCATTGGTGAAGAAGCCTCTAGCCTTAAGAAGTGCTTCCCCAACTGTAGGCGCATCAATGCTGGTGTCATTGTTGGGCTGCATGAGATTGTAACTTATAAGATCTTTTTGATGAATTAAGGACAGGAAAACTAGATACACCATAGTGAAAATTGCAATGCGAATAAAAAAGAAGATGATCAAAGCATAATAGAACTTACTGTGTCCCATCTTTTATCAAGAAACTCATTCACAACTAGTGCATTCTGTCCATACATCATAGGAGACATATAGTAGCCCCACATTATCCATGGCTCAAGGTCATCTTCAGGAAAAAAAGCAAAAGATTTTTAAAATGAATCATGTTCAAGGAAAAAGTATGTCTAGCAATGAACCTAATTATTTAGTAATATTTACCATCCAATACTAGGCATAATAAATTGGATTATAAACAGGTTTTGCTTAAAAAATAAATTAAAATGGCAAACAGGGTTAAATTCTCACTTTTGGAAATAATAAATCCTCCAAGCAGAAAAACCATTAGCAAGGTGAAGGTACCCAGCAACTTTGATACAACTTCTGTTCTTCCAAGAGCAGTAATGAATCGAAAGAGGGACAGAGCCATCTGATGTACACCAAGTAATGCCAAGAATTGTCGGAAAAACCTACAGAAGAAAAAATAAAAGGATTATTAGCAAAAGAACTCTAGTAGCTGATCTAGTTCTAATTACAGGTATGACAAAACCCATTACATAGAAACAATAATTTCAAAATATAACATCAATAGTTTTCAGCAGGTGATTATTATGGACTGAATGGAACTAGATGAATTGCTTTACCTGCTAGGAGGGAGCAAAACCAATTGTGAAGTATGTCAGAACGATCCATATAGCTGACTCCATAAACGATAAAGGGATCCTAAGAATCCATATAGGTAAGGCAAAAGCCCATGCAGGATAGAATAAGTGATCCCTTTGTTTATAGAAGACAGGAAGCTTCATAATAGTCATTGCAAGTTCCGCCATCCCATTAAACATCACATTAACTAAACTGAAGAACAATGCTCCAAAATACTTAATTCCACCAAAGAAAGTGTCAGGTTTCATTTCTGATCTAAAGAACACGGACATGACTATCAATGACATAATCGGTATCTGGGTAGTCTTGAATATATAAACAAAAGAATTACGCTTCATTGGCAGCCACTCCCTTGCAAAACATGCCTTGAACAATTCCCGATTTAGAATGCGCCATACTTTTCAATCACCAATGCAGCAGTGTGGGCTCTGGATGTGTCAAAAGGAACCCTAAGATCTAACTCAATCTGTCGGCTAATGTGGAAAGAATTGAAACCGAAACAAATCTGTATTGTTGGTTCTTCCTTAACCAATACTGTTCCTAGTCCCTTCTTGGAAGTTACTTCTTGCAGAAAGTCAGCAACTCCTTTTCTATCTGGGCATTTGAAACCCATGTATTCAAAGAATTGAAGGATATTCTCTCGTGGACCTTGATAGACAATTTGACCTTCTGAAAGTAGGACAACTTGGATGTATGCTTTGTTTTACCTTGGGCTCATCTTTTACTTCTACGTTGCCAGACTGGCAATGTAATTTGGAGTAGACTCTTCACTACATTTTTTATTAGGATGTTGAGCGCCTAAAGCACAGTAAAGAGTGCTCTCTATAGTCACTCTTACATCATCACATGTGTTAGATATTAAGTTCAGTCCTTGGCAGATTCTAATTTATTCTCTATTTGAGCAGGTTCCAGTTCCTTCTCGATTGGAGCAGGCTCCAATTCATCCTTTACTTGAGGTTCCAATTCATTATCTACTAGTGCACAGACAACTGTTCTACTCGGTGCATATACCAAGAAGGAACGAGGCCGGNGTCACCACTCACACGTGCAAATGTTTCTTGGTTCTTTGGGTAGCCAGAAATGCTAATACTTCCTTCAATATACCCTCCGGTCTTCCTTCCTGCCAAGACATCCATCAGAGTTGTCTTCCCCACACCACTAACACCTACTAGTGCCGTCAATACCCCTGGTCTGAAAGCACCACTAACATCCCGTAGCAGTTGAAGACGATCTTATTCAATCCCTTGGGTCTTCATTTCCTGGTAAGCAATGATAATTAATTCATTTCAGCATATGCTTGTGAGAATCAAAACATTTTCAACAAGATCATTCATTTAAATGCGTCTAACAATTTAAAAAAAAATGTTTAATTACATTATGGACTTAAAAGAAGCCATTCTAATTTTTCTAGAGGTGGTAAACCGAAAATGAAAACGTTGTACGAATGACAATACATATTGTTCTCGAATGATCTCCTAAATTCCATGACTCTATGCTATAGCACAGAAGAGATCTAAAGGCCAAGCAACCTAGTTATTAGTGTTTATTTCATTGCTCATGCTGGTTTTTGACACAGATCATCATTGACTAGCAATGGTAATTGTTGATTCTGTTGTGAAATGATAAGATTTCCAGGTTTTCAACGATATGGAAATTTGGTTATCGTTTCAGAAATGTCAATAATCAGGGAAGCTTCTAGGACAAAAAAAGTCTATATAAACACTTAAGATAAATATATGCTTCGAGGTGAATGACTTACAACAGGCATATCCGCATAGTAGTTGACATGGTTGAATACAAGTGAATGGGGTTGGAAAGGCAAAACCATTCCTCTTTTAGAGTCAGCAAGGTTAACCCTTTCTGATGAACTTCTCATTGCCAAGTTAATACCTGCAATTGTTTGTCAAAGTCAACGTATTTAGACAGATATAATATCAATGGACTTTACACAGTACATGAATAAGAGATTTTTCTTGGGAGCATGACATAACAATCTAAAAGATAAGTACTGTTCCATACATGCTTTGGAACGTAACTATTTATATGTTCATCATATCAGTATATTTTTCTATTGAAATCTTAAAGAGGTGGACGAGGGCTCGTGGAAAAATGCTGGAATATGATTCTTGATTGGTACCGGTAAATAACATAATTCTCCAAGTTACATACTTTTGCTAAAATCATTAGCCCTACTTAATGCAGTTTTCACTTCATGTTCATGCATTTGATATACCAGCTTTAATTCTTGTACAAATAAAACTTGACTTTGGTAAACTGAAGGAGAAAAAGTTGGAAGGAATCAGTTGAGAGGCAGACAGATGAGAATGTGATACGTACACCTGCAAACAAACTAAAACCACAACCAAAAAGCAATAGTTCTCACACAAATCACCCACTCACTGTCAATCCACAACCAGAAAACACAAGAACAGAACAGATAAAAACTCAGCACAAATTGGTATTAATCGGATAACTTGAAGAAACAGATATGATATGAGATGATTGGAATGTAACCAAAACCCTGGCGTTTGGAGCCAGGTACCTCCAGTGTTTTATCAATGCCAAAAAGATGATCCTGCTGCTAGACCCTTTCTGCTTATATCAGTTCCTCTTTTCACAATTACCCTTACACAATTCATATTCTCAAAACAGACTCTCATCCATGACACCGTACCTTGTGGACCCTACTCCCTTAACAACCTTCCTAATGTCTATTATGCCCCTTACGGTTGTAAACCTTATGGATTGCTGGTTTATCAATACCCCCCCTTGAAGATCACCTTGTCCTCAAGGTGAAACTGAGGAAACTGCTTGTGAATCACTTATATGGTTCCCAGGTAGCTTCAAATCAGGTAAATGCTGTCATTTGATGAGGACCTCCTTGGATCCATCTAAAAGAGTGCTCACAGAGAGAACGCCGTCTGGCTGGACCAATAATTCCAGGTCTTCAGAAAGTGATTCCGGTAGGGGTTGGATGGGCACCGAGATGTAGGGACTTTTTGAGCTGAGAAAAGGAAGACAGGATGAATACAGGCAGTGGGTGGCAGATCCAATTTGAAGCCACTGGTCCATGCGTTCCAAAACCGTATAAGGGCCATAGAAACAGGGGCTGAGCTTTTCATTCAATTTCTGGGCAAGTGATTTAAACCTGTAGGGTTGTAACTTCAGGAAGACGAGTCACCAGGCTGGAAGCACTCGTCTCTCCGATGAAGGTCAGCATTGTGTTTCATGCGGGTTGAGCCTAACTAAATTGTCTTTAAGCTCCTGTAACATGGAATTCCTCTCCGTCATTTGGAATTGACACTTCCATTGCTGAAGGGCATCTGTGAATTTTAAAAGGGTGGGGTGGGTCTGTCCCTAGAGAGCTTGAAGGGAGTCATTTGAATGGACCCGTGGTAGGTTGTGTTGTACCAATATTCTGCCCAAGCAGCCAATTCGGCCACGTCGTGGCTGAGAACTGCAGAAACAGCGGAGATACGCTTCGAGACACTATTGACCACCTCTGTTTGCCCATCGGTCTGCGAGTGCTAAGCCGAACTAATTTCAGAACAGTACGGCGGCCTTGAAAACTCCTGCCAAAATTGACTCATAAACAGTTTGTCTCTGTCAGAACAATGGAGTTAGGGAACCCTGGAGCCTGACCACGTCTTTCACGAATATGGCAGCCACATCCTTTGCATTGTAAGGATGACCGACAAAAAAAAAATGTGTGTACTTGGTCAGTCGGTCAACAACAACGAAGATTGATCACTCCTTTCGAGCGTGGTAGCCCCCAGATAAAATCCATAGATAGATCCTCAAAAACCTGTTCTGGAATGGGAAGGGGCTGGAGAAGGCCTGCGGTTTTAATGAGGAATGTTTATTAAGTTGACAGGTAGTGCAGGCCTTGATGAAGCGTTGTACATCCCCCGAATACCCTCCCAATAAACTACTGAAGAGACTTTCTTATACGTTCTGAAGAAACCCGAGTGACCGCCACTAGGGCTCTGATGGAACTCGGCCAGTAATATGGGGACATCTGGACGCCTTTTGAATAACTAGCCTGTCTTTTAAGAAGAGGCAGCCCTGTGGAGACGGTTAGTTTGGTCGACTAGAAGAGTCAAGGAGAAGGTCTGAATGAGTTCCTTGAGTTTTGGATCTATTTGTGTCTCCGAAGCCAGTTTCAAACTGAGAACTGTACCGCAGATAAGGGGACAAGTGTGCCAATTCAGTCCCATCTTCCCTTCTTGAAAGAGCGTCTGCTACTTGGTTGGAAGCTCCTGGGTAATACTGAATTTCAAAGGTAAAACCCATCAACTTGGAAATCCATTTGTGTTGTTCCGGGGTTTTCGATTTTGGTCCGTTTAAAAACTGGAGGCTGCGCTGATCCGTCTTAATTATGAATTTTCTGCCAAGTAGTAGTGACTCCATTTCTTGACGGCAAACACAATGGCCATCAACTCGCACTCATAAACCGATTTCAGCTTGGCTGTCTGGGAAAATGCCTTGCTGAGGAAAGTATAGGTCGAGCCTGCTGCACCAAAACAGCCCAGGCCTCTTCCAGATGCGTCCGTATGAATTTCAAAGGAAGAGTGAAATCTGGAACTGTTAAACTGGGACAGTAGTCATGGCTTCCTTGAGCCGATAAAAGCTAATTGTGCCGAATCATTCCAAGTGAAGGAGTCCTTTTTAAGTAGCTGAGTAAGGGGCTGTGCGATGAACCATAACCTTTTACAAACCTCGGTATACCCTGTCAGCCCAAGAAAACCCCTCAACCCTTTACATTCATAGGTCGCGGCCAAGACACCATGGCCTCGATCTTTTTCGGATCTGCTCCCACTCCCTTTGCTGAAACCAGATGACCCAATATTCCAGTTTAGATTGGCCAAACAAGCATTTTCTTTGTTGATAACAGCTGGTGTTCCTGCAAAATCTGAAAAGTTAGTTGTAAATGCTGGATGTGGGTTGATATGCAGGGGCTGTACAAAGGATGTCATCAAAGAAGACCAGGATGAATTTACGGGACAGGTCTAAAAATGGTTCATTCAGGCTGAAAAGTTGAGGGCGCATTAGTGAGTCCGAAAGGCATCACAAGGAACTCGTAATGCCCCTATGTGTGCGGAAGGTGTCTTGGGAACATCACCTCTCGCACCCTAATTTGATGGTATCCGAACTTGAGATCGAGTTTTGTGAAAATCATTGCCCCAACCATTCGTCCAGTAACTCTTCAATGGTCGGTATCGGAAATTTACGGGTATTGTAATGTCGTTTACTGCCCGATAATCAACACAAAATCGCCAACTCCCATCTTTTTTTTTGACAAGTAAGACAGGGCTAGCGTAAGGACTAACACTAGGCTGTATAATTCGGCAGTCAACATTTCTTAACCAGTCTCTCGATTTCATTCTTCTGAAAGTACGGGTATTGTAGGGTTGATATTGGGTGGTTTGGACCTGGGTGGAGTTCTATGGCATGGTCATGGGTCTATGGGGAGGTAATTAGGGTCCTGGTCACAACATTTGGGGTAGCTATTCATCACTTCCAGAATTCCCGGGTCAGTTTCCTCCTACGTTGGTTTTCCTAAGACCTATGGCTCCAAATCCACTACGTAGCCAGTTCCCGCAGCATGCACAAGACTTGACTACGGTTTTCAGAGAGACTTCAGCCTTTACTAGTTGAGGATCCCCTCTCAATTTTACCCTCTTGCCATTCCAGACAAATTCCATTGTTAATCTCTTCCAATTGGCACTTACATCCCCAAACTACTCAACCATGGAATTCCCAACACAACGTCTACCTCCTAATTCAAACGAAAAAACTCCTGCTGTATCTCAATCCCCTGAAGTTTCAGCTCAATCCTAATCCCTTCTCCCCGAATAGTACACCCATCTCCAACCATGACTCCAAGGGTCTCCCCTTATCCATCTTCAACCAAGCTTCTGTACAAACTCATGGGACACGAAATTGTGGGAAGCCCCATATCCACCAACACCACCACACTCTCACTCCAATCTCCCCCTTTAACTTCAAAGTTTTCCCTGACGCAATACCACAATAGAGTTCATGGAAAGAGCTGATATTACCTTCACCGATGGCATCCTCGTAAGTTTCTGTCTCCATTTCAGGTGGGTTTGATTCTTTCATCCAAAAGTAATAAAACTTGCAGAGATCGGTTTTTACACTTGTGGTTTGGCCCGAATTTCTCGTCGCAACGGTAACAGAGACCACGCTCTCGCTTGAAACTGGAGTTCGGCATCGGAGAGTCGCCGGAAGTGTCGCTCGATTGACGGACCCCACAGACTCAGTCGCCCTCTCTCGTCGCAGGTGGCTTACTGGCAAAGGAATCTGGTGGTTTTGCGTTGGAGTTCCACCAGTTAGGGCGTGAGATTTCCGGGTTTGGGCTGACCGCGAATATGCCTCTCCACGGCCCATTTGATTTTAAACACCCTGGGCCTTTGTTTTTCCAGCACCCAATTTCTTCCTCAATTCTGTGGGCCTGATCCATTAGCCCAAACAATGAATTGGCTGAGACAGACGCAACTCCAGCTTTCACTCTTCCTTAACCCATTCGAAATATCCCTTTTAACAGATCCTCACCAGATCCTTCAATGGCGCAGCATGGCTTCAAACTGTTCCCTATATTCTGTGATTGTCCCATCTGCTTCAAGGCTACTAAAGCCTCATATGCGGATCCCTTAAATGAAGGCCGAAAACGACGATCAATGCCGTTTTGAACGCTTCCCACGACTGGAATGGTGCTCTGGATTCGACCATTGATACCAACTCAGTGCTCTTCCCTCCCATGCAAACTGCTGCTGCTTCCACCATTTCTGTTTCCTGATAACGGTTGATGGTGAAGTAACGGTCCGCTCTGAAGGACCATCCAAATGGGTCTTCGCCATTAAAGATTGGCAACTCCCGCTTGGGTACCTTTTATCCTCTTTCCCACTGTCGTCCTGATCTGGTTCCTTGTTTCTACTGGAGTTCAGGTTTCTTGCCGATGAAGAGGATTTCTCCCTTTCTTGGTCTCTTCTTCCTTCCTTTCTTCTCTCATGCGCAATAATTCTCTCATTTCTGTCAAGTATTCCTTCACACTACCCATATCAATCTTCAAAGTTCCAATGTCTTCTTAACTGTACTCATTCCCCTTTCCACGTTACCATCCTATTCTCCATCTTGGATTTGACCATTTCCAACCTCGCTCTGATACCAATGATACGTACACCTGCAAACAAACTAAAACCACAACCGAAAAGCAATAGTTCTCACACAAATCACCCACTCACTGTCAATTCACAACCAGAAAACACAAGAACAGAACAGATAAAAACTCAGACAATTTGCATTAATGATAACTTGAATGAAACAGATATGATATGAGATGATTGGAATGTAACCCAAAACCCTGGCGTTTGAGGAGCCAGGTACCTCCAAGTTTTACAA